CCCAGTGGTCTAGACATGGGACTTTCCAAATTTGGCGTTGTTTCATTTCTCCACATCTCCACTAACACTTGCACACCGAGATGCTGGCTAATTCCCAGTTCCCCAGTGGGCGATACCCTCTCAAAATCTATATGCTTTCTATGATTCCTTCTAAGTGTAGTTACTTTTCCTGTACTCCTCCATATTTAAAAAAAAAGTGCTGCTTCTTCTTTATCCGCCTATGCCAGAATCCCCCTTTCTTTGATGTCATTCTCAGATCTCATAAATAAGCCACTACTTCTACCAGCTCATGCTTTCATGTGGTATACATTATACTAAGCTGTAAATACTAGGGAAAAATGTTTTCCATCTCTAAGCTGAGTTCTTAGAAAGTACAGAGCTCCATAAGGTCATGTCTTTTTAAATTTTGGATCTTGGGAGACTATGAAATCTGTGGCAACTTACAAGTCCTTTTCAAATGTTTCTTTTTTTAAGGAAGGGGGTTGTGTTGGGACTCATGGTTTGCAGGGGAGAGGTTGTCTATCATGATTGGAAGACATGGTGATAGGAGTATGAGATGGCCGCTCACACCGTACGCACTCAGGAAGCAGAATGAGATGCACATTGGAGCTCCGACTTTATGAATATTTCTTAAATAACTGGCTGGGGTTAGTGAGTAAAGACAGCAGGCGCTCTGTACAGTCCTGGGAGCTGCATTTTAATCAGGAGATAGCAGAAGGAGCCCATCATTCATTCGCCACTGTTCTTTCCTGCCGTGTTAGCAGCGCTAACGTGAGAGCTTAAGTTGGCGAGTGCCCCATCTACAAGGAGAGATGTAAATTGGGCAAATGAGATGTGTAGGTGAGCCACACCTTGTGACAAACAATAATACTGTCCCTTCACCTCCACAATATGACTTTGGACAACTGTTGTTTTACTAAAATATGCGAAAACTAGAGATCCTTCCCCAAGTTCCGTCACTTTACAAGCAAAACTGTAAGCCTATAGAAGTAGTCAGTGTATCAAGGCCCTTGCTGTTCTGTTTCTAAGGTGACAAAATGTTGTGGACAAGTTAGACTGCAAGTCACAGAGTCCACGATCGTTGTCCTCGCTTTTCTAATTCTTGAACACACTTCAAGAGCTGTCCCCGTTGAAGGGCGGGGGAGATGGTCCAACCAGTACATGAAGTGCTTGCTACATGAAGGCCTGAGATCCCCTGAAGGCCTGATTGATGTAGGACAGCTGGGCGTGGTGGTGGCACCTATGTCTCCAGCACTGGAAAGGCAGACACAAGAATCTCCAGAGCTCACTGGCCACCGTTCTAAACCCACAGGCCAGCTCTAGGTTCCATGTGGGAGCCTGTCTCAAAGGATAATGTGGAGAGTTATCAAGGAAGACAGTACCAGAGAGAGAGAATCCCACACACCATCCACTGAAGCTAGATAGCAAGCCCCTTGGCTGTAATGAGTGAAAAAAGTGAAGGTTATCAGTTTAATTTGGCTTGATACTTCCCAGGAACTCTGGAGATAATGAGAAGCACATTGTTTTCCTTTTTTTTTCTTGAGACAGGGTTTTTCTGTGGCTTTGAGGCTGTCCTGGAACTAACTCTTGTAGCCCAGGCTGGTCTCGAACTCACAGAGATCCACCTGTCTCTGCCTCCCAAGTGCTGGGATTAAAGGTGTGCGCCACCACCTGGCTCCATCCTTTTCCTTTTTATCTGATACTGTATTTTCTATGACTCCTAAGATTTAATGCTGAGGAGTTTTCCCTCATAAGTTATAAGCTTTACTCCAAAGTGCAAATTAATAATTATTGTGTAGCTTATGGTTCTTTTATGCATGAATTAATAAATAACAACAACAACAAAAGTGGTGATGAACAAACCAGATTGACACTCATGGAATTTGCAGCTTTTCAACTTGTACTTCATGAGACATGATTTTGATTAAAAAAATTTCATAGCCCTGGATTTTGATAAACATAAATAATTTTGTTTTCTCATTTTTCGAATAATGAACCTCTGAAATGAGTACAGTTGGAATTTCACTTTTCCGAATCAGATTGTGAAGCATAATTTGAAAGTCCATTTTATGTAAAGAAAACATAGCTAATGCTTTTCTTGCCTCTTTCTACTTTTTGGCATTCCCTATTCGTTTCTGCAATAAACACTGCCACCTGTGAAGAGTCTTAAATGGGTGAGGTTTCTATCCTCAACTGCCTTCAGAAATGCACAGCTAACTTTGAAATGGGACATGTCGGCGTGAGTGGTCCACGCAGCCAGAGCGATGACCTCGGATGCCACGCCTAACCTCACAGATCTGCTCAGTCAGTCCCAGCCTGCATTCCTTCATGCTTACTCTAATGGCTCATTCCATCCTGACCCCAACACACACGCCGCTGCAGGACTGCACCGCAGGCTCTGTTCCCTGTCTCTCCCACTGCTTCCCGTCTGTTTCTGAGCCCTTGAAATAAAAAGCGCGAGGCTCTATGCCGATGACTTTGTGGATGTCAGGTGTTACCTCCTCGCTTCCTCTGCAGTGAAGGAGAGGGGATGTGAGTCAGACAGGAGAACGTCTTCCCCAGATCACCTGCTCCTGTACCACGTTCACTGCGGAGTAAGCAGGCTGCAAGGAGGAGCTGTGATTCAGCAGCTGTTTCACCCCGTACACCTCCCGGAGGATAGACGGTCCCAGACAAAGCTATGGAGAGCAGACACATCATCAAGAGGAAGGCTCTGTGCACTACAGAGGCTCGGAATCGAGGCCATCATAGAGTGGGGGTTCATTTCAGAGTAACTTAGCCCTGAGACTGACTACCAGTTAGGGAGACATGAACAAAGCCCTTTTTCGAAAGGGCAGGACCCATCCAAAGGAAAGTCAGCGATCCACACAGGCATGCCGTATGTCCACTGTGCCTGAGAATCAAAAGGAAGGTGTGCGCCTTTCGGTGTACAGCCACTAATGGTTTAATTAAAGCTAGCTGTGGTGGTGTAGACCTGTGATCCCAGCTACTCAGGAAGCTGAATCACTGGGAAATGAAGATCAGCCTGGGCAATTTAGCAAGTCTCTGTTTCAAAAATGGGTAAACTATCTGAGGGTGTAGCTCAATGGAAGAGCACTAGTCTAGCATATGTGAGACATCAGTTCGTCCTTCTAAAGTTTAACCAGTTATAATAAGATCAAGCTCGACTCATAAACTCTCAGTATTTATCATAAAGCTATCCCTGTTACTAAATCATGCTTCTGTTAACTCTCTCACTATCTTCTTCCTCAAGCCCAATTGTTTATTTTCTGTTTTAGTTGTTTGTATTTTATTGGATTTTTTAAAAATGGTCTATGGGAGATAATGGCATGATTGAAGAAATGTGAACCCAACTGCTTGCTCCAATAATTACGTACAGGAAAGTTTTGTAAGTTACACTTAAGAATTAACAATAGAAAATCCCTACTTCTAAACTGAGGTTGTGGCTATCCACGGGACAAGCAGAAGGAGAGAGCCTGCAGCTCTGGGTTTCCACAGCCTTCATTCACAAAGTCCCCGAGTCTTCCTCTGCTGCGTGGAAGACCAAGAAATTTGGTCTCCGATCTAAATAGGTATTCTTAGAATTGTAAGAGGTACTCGATATGAAGTAAGGCACCTACAGTTAAATAAGTGGCTCTTTTAGTTGCTTTTCCATTGCTGTGGAAACTTAGAAATGAAATGACCAAGGAAACTTATAAAAGAAAACATTTACTTGGGCTCAGAGTTCTAGGGAGTGAGGATCAAGCTCGTGAGGCAGGAAGCAGGCAGGCAGGCTTGACACCACAGCAGTGGCCGAGAGCTTACATCTGATCCACAAGTAGGAGGCAGAGAGAGAGAAAGCTAATCCAGAATGCTGTGGGCTTTTGAAACTTCAAAACCCCCACACACCCAGTGACACAGCACACCTCCTCCAACAAGGCCACACCTACTATCCCTACCCCCAAGTTCCCCTAACTAGAGATCAAGTATTCAAATATATGTGCCGATGGGGACATTCTCATTCAAACCACCGCAATGGCTGTATTTGGCTATAGTATTTGGGTCACATGCTACTTAGTAACGTTTATGTTAGTATAAGCGCCAGCACGGAAGTACCAAGCTGGGTTACCTGGTTACAGTCAGAGGTGACGTCAATCGGGCTGCGCCAGAGGGGTCACTGTAAGCCTGAAGCTGAGACAAGTTTATTGCAAGCAATCAGACTTCTTATACCCTTATCAGAAATAGAATATACTGGTGGCTGCCAGGAAGAATACGATTGTAGTTGCCAGGACACAATGTGTAAAACCCATACAGGGTACACAAGGTTAATGTCTAAGACTGATTGTCCAGTCAAGCTTCTGTATGCTTCGCTGACTTCTAGGGAATGCAGAGATACACAGGAACCCTGAACACTTCACTGCCTGAGGGAGTGCCTTAGTGTCTCGGAAACTGAAAGGCACACAGGGAGCGCCCCAGGTGCCACAGACTCTAACCTGAAAAACCTACGACACATGCCTCTCAGGGGACGACACCGGGCCAACTCCATGATTCCCCACATGTTAGGAAATAAAAACATTTATCTCCCTTTCAACAACTATATAACATGGGAAATGTGCATGGTAGTCTAAATGAATGATGTTTTTCATTTATAAATGTGTAAAAGAATAAAGGATATACTTTTGTGTGGTTTATGCGTGTTAAGTCATCTGTAGGGAGGCCCTAAGTTGAGATCGACTGTCTTGCTTCAGGAATCCCCTGTCTCTATTTCCCAAGTAATGGGAATAGAAGCAGCAAGCCAGGCCTGTCCTGTCTTCACTTAGGCTCCGAGGATCCAAACTCTGGTCTTCCTATCTACAGGGCCTTTACTACTGAGTCATCTTCCCAGCACACCATACTTTCAAATAAACAAGTTCAACGAAAGATTTTTGTCAGTGGCACAAGTATATTCAATGTGCTTCCATAGAAATGGTTGTTTGCCTGCTTAGTGGGAGACTAACGTGTTATCACAATTTTGTCCACAGAATGATTGAAGATAGTGGGAAAAGAGGAAATACCATGGCAGAGAGAAGACAGCTGTTTGCAGAGATGAGTGAGTATGGAACTTTTAAGGAACTCCCTTCAGTGTTCATTGAATATTCATGGAAAAGCCAGAAATAACCATGTAGTGCTTAGCACATCTGGGCTTCTCCAGAAAAACCATCAGATCTCTGCATAAACTATGCGTGGCCATTTCAACTTCTCATTAGGTGAGAATTAAATCAGTCCCTGATTTATTATAGTTTGTTTCTACACTCTATCTTTCACAGGCTGAAAAAAACATGTCTCTGGGCCTGTGTATTTACACACAGGCAGACACACTTGACTTCAGTACAGTCCACTAACACCGAAGTCTGCACCCACCTGCTTGCACTACCAAGTGGCTGCCTAGAATAAAACCAGAGAAGCGCCTCTTTGAATGTCTTCCCTGGAAAATGATATCATACATTCAAATACCAAGTAGGAAGCCTGACCAAACTGGACTGTGCGCTGTCATTTGGACCTCCTTTGGAAGGCAATCTGTCCCCCCAAAAAAAGTTTAAAAAAAAAAGCAAAGGCCAACAAAAGATAAAAGCAGCTGGGAGTGACAATTTGGGGGCCTCAGGCACCGGTGGTATTAGGTATTATCTGGCGGTTGGTCTGTGAACGCGCATGACTGCTGTGTAGCTGGTGCTCGTGGCATCTCCCTTACAGACCAGTCTAATTGTTCATTAAAAAAAAGAGGAGAATCATGCTTCTCAAGCTAAATGTTATAAAGAAAAGTGTTTCGGTTCTCTTCTTCTGTGAGTTGAGAATGCTCAGGAGTGACTTGTAAGCTCCCCCTGCCCCTGGGAAGAAAAACGGATAGAAAAGCAGTTTATACTGAAAATGAGATATGACTGACAGGAATGGGGGTCTGGTAGTAAAACAAAAGTTCCCTGGTACTAAGGAGAGGGCGGATCATTTTCCAATCATCGGCTGGCACTTGTACGCTGTTAGAATTGACAGGGGAAAGAGAGTTAGAATCGATGTGAGGGCTCCCAGACATCTGCTGGCCTTTGCATTTGCAGAACCTTTTTAGTGTGTTTGTTTTTTGAGACAGGATTTCTCTGTGTATTTCTGACTGTCCTGGGACTCACTCTGTAAACCAGGCTAGCCTCAAACTCACAGAGACCCACCTGCGCCTGCCTCTAGGCTTGTACCACCACGCCTAGCTGGCACCTGCAGAGCCTTAAGTGTCTGTGAGAGCTTCAACTGAGACTTGCCAGGATCCCCTGCTGTGTTTGATGCTGCCATCTAAATTTCTGGAATGAACGATCCCCCTGGAATTGTGGCTCTTTTTGTAGGCACACATCTGGCTATGGTCTGCCAACATCTTGGTTAGGCCTACATAACAGTGACCAGAAGAAGGGAGCCATAGGTGAATCTGAATACATATCATCTTTGTATCCTTCTTTACCACGTCCTGCAGAAATGCTCCTTTGCAAAAATGCCCTGGGAACTCTACATAGGAGAGGGGCACAGAAGTGCAAGGGTTACGATCCTCAGACCCTGGCTAAGGTCTTGCTGAAATTAAAGAACATCACAATCTTGTTAGATCACAACCTTGGTGTATTAACTGGTATTCAACTCATTGCTCTGTTTTGATTGTTCATTGTTCATTTTGACACAGGGTCTTTTGTAGGCTACCCCAGGCTGACCTGAAAACTGCTGTTATCTTAGAATGACCTTGAACTTCTAATATTCTTCCTGCATCCAACTCCATAGGGTTGAGCTTCAATATGGGGGGGGGCGGGGGAGACATAGGGATCAAAGCCAAGGTTTGTGCAGGCTAGGCAAAAACTCTACCAACCGAGGCTACATCTCCATCTCTCCTCTTGCTTGTTTGTTTGTTTGTTTTGATACAGCCTATGTAGCCCAGTATAGCCTTAAACAAGTTCCTCCCACTTAAGCCTCCTTAGTGATAAGATGACAGGCAGATACGATCATGACCAGCTTTAATGTCTTGTTCCTGGCGAACATACAAATAATATACACCTCCTAATTTTTTTCTTTGAAAGCATTATTTACAGGTATAGGGACTCTTTACTGCTAAGCCAAACTAGACACCAGTAAAATTTCATGCAGTAAACAGGCAGATTCAGCACGCAGGTGTGTCTTAATACTCTGCCATTGACATCTTAGAAAGCTTGTTTCCTACAGGTTAATTAGAACAGGAAATTAAAATAAAGAAACTATCTAAACAAATACAGAGTTTTATCCTTAGTGCAAAGCTAGAAAATAGGGGGAAAAAACTTTATATATGCAGAGATCCATAACCAAGTACTGGGCTAAGCTCCAGGAATCCTGTTGAAGAGAGGGAGGACAGATTGTAGGAGCCAGAGGGGCTCAAGGTCATTACAAGGGAACCCACAGAAGCAACTAACCTGGGCTCACAGGACCTCACAGACTCTTGACCAACAGCTGGGGAGCCTGTATGGGATGGACCTGGGCCCTTTGCACATGTGTGACAGTTGTGTAGCTTGGTCTTCTTGGGGTGCTCCTAGCAGTGGGATGAGGGTCTGTCGCTAGTGCTTGGGCTGGCTTTTGAAACCTGTTCCTCATACTGGGTTGCCTCACCCAACTTCAGTACAAAGGGAGGAGTTTAGTTCTGTCTCAACTTGACATGCCATGCTTTGTTGACACCCATTGGAGGCCTGCCCCTTTCTGAACAGAAACAGAGAAGGAGTAGATGAGGGGGTGGCAGGGAGGAGGTTGGGGGGTTTAGAGGAGAGAAAGAAGGGGAAACTGTGGTCAGGATGTAAAATAAATGAAAAAAATTAGTTAATAAAAGGGAAAACGCACATAAGATTTTTTAAACCAGCCTTGAATTAACTGAAAGTTTAATAAGAATGAACCACCTATTAAAATATTTACTGGGTTCATAATTGTTCCCATCCAAGATGACATCACTGTTCTCTGTGTGCTCAATATTTGGAAGGCAGTCACTATGACATTTAACTTTCGTTCAGCTCATTTTAAGGAAATACTAGATATCCATAGGACAGAGTGACTACAGTGCTTATGGACCTCAAGACCATGTCTGATAACAACAGTGGCAACTCCATGTATGCATACCCTTTGTGTGCAGCACTATGTGATGAACACTGCGCATGCCTGACATGACTGAAGCTGAGCATCTTCAAACTAACATCTGTCAAGTGAAAGCTAAACATTAAAGTTCATGGCGACAAAGACTCTTGTCTATAATTACACTGCTTATGATGATGTCAGCAGCCACCCAATATTGAGAAATGAATTGTCAGTTATCAGGGAGAAACATTTCTGCAGTTCCAGATGTAACAGCTGGACCAAGGGGGCTAAGTGACAAGAAACAGAGAAAAACTCAAATGTAAGGAAGTAATTTCTGTTGTCCATTACTCTTCAGAACAAGTACAGGAAGCATTTTAAGAAAACATATTTGCTTTCATTGTTCACTGTCTACCTAGAACAGAGGTCAGGACTACACAAATATTGCTAAATCAAGTTCATATTTTTCCCCATCTCATACTTGGCCATCTAGAGATGGAAAGTAAAATGTTGCTGAAGTTCACACAAATAAGTGACATAATTAATTATTAAAGGCAGAAAAATACATAATGTTACCAAATTCTGATCTTCCTTTTCTTTGGAAATAATCCTACATGACCATTGGTTGAATGTCTGTCTCCTAAGAATATTTTTATTAGAAATCCTGTACTTACTGAGTATCAAGAAGCCTGTTTGTCAAGCAATATAATTTAATAAGAATGAGTGGTTAGTGACTGACCTTAACTGGACAGTAGACAACAATATGTCCAAGTGACTCTAAGGAGTCAAGGAACAGTGGAATGCCATCAGTGATGGGTACTTATGAAGTCATCCTGATTCTTTGAAAAAAAACTTCATGAGTCAGTCCCCCTGCTTCCAGAAGGGTCCATATACCTGCTGTTCCATTCTCAAGCATTTGTATAGCAGTTATGTGGGTACCATTCATGAAAAGAAAGCTCCAAGACATGTCCAAACATAGCTATGAGCTTTGATTTCCATTGTGTAAAACAAAATGATTAAAAGCAGACATCTGTTTAGAGTCTTGTTTATTTGGGAGATGGTCTAGCAATTGGTCCATTTAGGGAGGGTAAGAGGGGCACTAGAAACTTAGTAGGCTGCGAGGGGCCATCCTAAGCCCAGTGGGGCTCTAGACGGGTTGTTAGGAAACATTACTGGGTGAGTAAGATCGTAAGACTGTGGTGAGAATTGGACTCTGAGCAGGGTTTTCAGAACTGGTGTCTTGTCATCAAGAGTCATGATGGTTTCCTGAATGGAAGAGTGGAATAAGGACAGCAGTAAGAGTGTAGGGACATGTTCCTCCAATGCTAGGATGGACCTGGATGACAAAGAATAAGAGCAGAAGTTGGTTTTGGAAAGGAGTCTCCACTCTGAGGTTTAGAGATATACATTAGTGTAAACAGAGAACACTTCCACTAGAACATTAGGAGTGCTCCTTCATTTGTTTCTACAGCAATCATATGCAATAGCTACTGTATCATTATCCCACCCTTGTAAGTGGAAAGGCCGAGGTTTCCTGAAGCACTTGGTTGAAGGTCTCATAGACAAAATACTCAATATCCAATGTGTTGTCTCCTAGTGGCTATGTTCTAATGACAAAAATGATGAATTTAAAAACTAATTTATTCAGTGATCCTTTCTAATCTCATCTTGCTGTTACTCAAGTCACAGCTTGAGTATATTATCCTAGGAAGTGGGAGACACAACAGGGAGAGGTTATGTTCCTTGGTCGATGATCATTGTTGGCAGTCCAGTTGAACACCAGAGATCTCTGCCTTGGGAACTTGAATATTGAATAGACCTTTCTGAGTCTTAAACTAATATTTATATTTCAACAAAAGTACCAATAAACATATGGATTATATCTTCAGTTGTTTTATTTACAAACATTACAAGCTCCTAACTATACAAATAGCATACCATATGTATACTCTTTTTCCCATACTAGGGGCTCAAGATCTGGATCGTATCCGACTCTCCACCTACAGAACAGCATGCAAGCTGAGATTTGTGCAGAAGAAATGCAATTGTAAGTGTGCCACTTGTTTGTGTTAATTACCTACTTGAGTACTAACATTTATGCTTTTACTGGGTTTATTAAAACCAGGTTTTCCTACAAGGATTGATAAACATATGTTTACACAAGAATAAAGAGGGTATTGTGGTCATGAATAGTAAAGAAACTGTTGCTAAGCAACTCTGAGGTCTGGTTTAGTATTAACTACCAAAGTCTTAGAATGGAGGAGCCTCTTGAGATCTAGATCTATATGTATATCTACATGTATCTATTTCTCTTTATATATATATATATATATACATATATATATATATACTTATATATATAGGTGATAGATATCGATACACATGTGTATATGTATGTATAGATAGATGGTAGATGTAGATTTGTACATATACATATAAGATAGATAGATGGATAGATAGAGAGAGAGAGAGAGATACGCAGATAGAAGATAGATAAATCAATCTAGAAAGAAGAAAGAAAGATTTCTAAACTCTGCATGGAGTGTTTTCTCTCTTTGCTACCCACGGCATTTTAAATGATATCTAGATACTTCGTAAACGATCACACATAAAATCCTCTCTACATGTCCATTTATTACTCTCAGTGTTTAAAAACATCTAAAAATATTAGCACTCCTTTCTGAAACTATAAAATCAACCAAAATAGTCAATGTGTTGATTATATTTGTGGACAAGAGCTGCAGAAGATACATAACTTTAAAAACCACAGGACCCGCTTCTGTTTGCTGCGGATTATCAACTACACCCAGCAAGCTGAGTACCAACCCCGTGAACAGTTCAGTGCTCCCTATGGGTGGGCACACCCCTTCATGTTGTCACAACGGTTTTCTCTGACAAAAATAAATATTACTTCATGGTTCATTTGTGTCAATTTATCCTGTTCTTTTTAAAGAATTGACTCTCATTCAAAATTAATAACTTCTCATTTTCTAATTAGTAAAGAACAGGTTTTGTTTCTTTTTTATGTAAGCCCTAACATTCTACCGAGAATGCACATATGGTTCTGGAAGAGCTAACATGGTAATTAGACTCTTAGTGAATACACAGCTAGCCACTTCCTCAGGTCTACCCTGCCAGAGTCTCCACGGGTATTTCCCAGAGCCTGGGGCAGCCCCACCCTTCTGGATTATGACTATAAAGATGGCGGAGTCAGTCAGTCCCTCGAGGTGCTTCCAGCGTTTCTCCAGCCAGGGGATGTAATAGGCCAAGATTTGGGACAGGATGAAGGGGAGAAAATGGATACACACAAAAGAAAAAAAAACAAACTCACATGTGTGTATGTGTGTGGTTCTTGCTTGGCATGCTTGAAGTCCCTTTCACCACATTAGTCAGGTGGTTTGTGAGTAGAAGGATCAGAAGTCCAAGGCCAGTGTTGGCTACATAGCGACTTTGAGGTTATCCTGGGCTAAAGGAGACCCTGTTTTCAATAGTTAAGTAAGTAATTAGCCTTTATTTGAAAAAGATGTAGCTATATTTGTATTTGTATATTTGTCTTAATCAATGTCACAATCTTCTAGAAAAGTAGTGACCATTTTGGTAGCATAACATTAATCGACACTGAATTTATATCCTTGCATTAGAGCAAAGTAACTCTAGTCTATGATAAAAGCTAACACAGTGAATTATGGTGCCTTGTAATGAAGTTTTACTCTACAACAAAGGGCATAAGATAAAATCCAGAATGGAGTGGGTTTGCCTCTGCAGATTTTGATCACCTCCAGGACCTGAGAGAAAGAACAAAGATTCACTACTTGCAGCAAGGACCAAAAAGGAGCTAAGAGCAGGCCTGATCTGTAACACAAAGCAGCTCCATGTTTGCTTACGGTCAATGCAAGGGGCAAAGAAGTGATTATCCCAGTAGCCGTTGCCTAGAACCTGCTAACAGAGTTACTGAGGCATCTTGGCCTACCTGAGATGCTATTACAAAAAATGCCACAATGTAGGCAGTTTGTAAACAATTGTAATGTATTTATTTTCCCAGCTACAGTGGTTGGGAAGTCCACGATGAAGGCACCCATCCACTTGATATCTGCTGGGGGCCCAATTTCTCATTCGTAGATGGCCTCTACCCTTCCCGGAGACCTCATATGACTGAAGGGACAGTGTCACACTGTACGACCTCTTTCATGAGGGCCTTAGTCCCCACTATGAGGCTACAGTTTAAGAACTTAATCACTTTCCTGAAGGTCCCAACTCCTACTACTGTCACATTGGAGATTAAGTTTCCATGTGTAGTTGGAGGAGGGGAGATAGGTATAAATAACTAGGCCAAGCATAGGACAGCTTGTTATGGTGCTTATTTCACAGAAATCAATGGATTATAACCAAGAACAGGCAGGTTGTTCATTTTTAGATACAGAATTTCTTTAAATGTATTCTGCATATTAGCAAAACTAAACTTAAAACCTGTAACATGGAAGAAAAACATAAAATTGGCTCTTATGAAAGCATCCCATAGAAGGAAAATTACCTAAATACAACAGGAGTATATGAATTTTTTTATTTACTGAAATCAAAGACCACACATTAGTTAATTATCCATCCTTCCCACATGAAGCACAGATTCCCATTACTGATGCCAAGTCCATCTCCTGGTACACATCATGATGGATGCTGAAAATAAAGCTCCCAGTCCTGGAAAAAGTACTTAAAGACAGACTGGTGCCTCTTTTTGTAAACCAGGAACAAAGAACAGTTTTTAAAGATAGGTATTTGTAATAAATATGCTTACAGAGAAGACTACTATGTATCCCCAGTTAAATAAATTTGTTTCCTCAAAAAGAATTATTCCTCATCAGAAGCCAGAATTTGGAAGAAAATTTCAACCCCCTCATTAAATGTTTGGTTTCATCAAATTAAAAACTATTGTGAATATTCTGTCTTGTATGTGGCTATGTAACATCCTTTACTCTTTCTAGAATATAAAGTAGCTTGGTATCCCTCAGGCTTAGAGAAACTCTTTTTTTGCATAGGTCTCTTCACTTACTAAGACATTTACCAATCTTGCTGATAAAAGAATAGCTGTAAGAAACCCATCTCTTTTTGATGGGCAGAAGACTTTCAGCATTCCTGCATCAGAATTATTTTCCACATCAATACTTCTGCTAATTGGTCATCCTTGTATTCTGCTATAACTTCTCTCTGTGTGATGTAATAACACACTCCCTAATAGAATTAAAGAACGGATGTCTCTAAAATGCAGGAGACATCAAGCTGGCTATTTTATGTCCTGGAAAGCAGGGGATAGGATGTAAAAAATGAGATTTCTTCCACACTCTGCCCATTCACAATATTTTCTTTAGTCTCTAGATTATTTAAGTGTCTACAAAAACTAAACAGCCTGTAAACTATTGCTAAGATCTGTGGAATGACAACCTCTCCATCTTTACTTTAAGCAAATAAACGCTTCCTCCTAGAGCAGTGTTTCCTTTGGTCAGCAATGGCAAGCTTAATGATCCAGGTAGCCTGCAGTGTCAGCACATTGTTCCCCTTCAAAAATTACTTGGGAGTCAATGAAACATAGCCTCAAGTTCATGACCAACGAAAAGACAACATTGGAAACAATTCAGAACCATGGGGTCACTACTGTGTAATAAAGGCAACGCTGGAAACAATTCAGAACCATGGGGTCACTCCCGTGTAATAAAGGGAACAAAACACAGCCGGGGATACCCTGCCTCCCACATCCACAGCAAGAGTGACCCATCCCCCACCCCACCAGCTTCACTTAGCTTTCTGCCAGTAGCAACAATTAAAGTTTTCACTTAAAGGAAAAGAGGTGAAAGTGTCTATAGTATCTCAAATGATCTCTTCTCACCAAGAGAAAATACCCTCCATTCAGAAAGAGTCTGTTGGAACACATGCTTTTGTTTACATAAAGGTCTGGAAACTTTTGGGGGGATGTGTAAGCACCACCAACTATCGATCTGTCTCTCTATCACAGCAAAATTAGCCTAAGAATATCACATCCCAAGTAGTTCCTGATAAAGCTCCTTAGATGAGTAGATATGAGTCGATTCATTATTTCACTAGCCAAGTGGCTAGCATTACACAGTAAGAGAAACTCAAAGATGTGTTTAGTTGTTAGTACTGACTCCTTCTTCAAAGTGCACTAGTATATGCAGTTTCCTTAACCTCATTGTGTGTGCCTTTGTGGCTCTCTGGACCAGTTTTGTGGCTACACAGTCAGTTCTTAGCATCACATTGGGCTGAAATCTGCAGCTTGCATCCAAGGCTGGAGGTCCTCTTCCAAGTGCATTGGCTGTTGGTGCAAATCTTGTCCTTGTGGCTGTGGGACTGACGTCCCTGTTTTCTTGTTGGGTGCCAGCTGAGAACTGTTCGTAGGGCTTTCTTGGTTCCTTGCTGTTTGACCCCTGTGGACTCCAGATGATTATGCTGGAGCTCAATCCTGATTTCCTATTTGTGTTTAAAGGGGGCAAGTTAGTCACTTGTGCCAGGACTAACCAGATGATCTTCAGGTTACCCAAAGTCTGTCTGTGAAAATCCTCTCAGGAGAGTATCAGGTCATAGGTTCCGTTGAAGAGCTGAGAGAAGACAAGTGACAACAATGGGCCAGCAATCTTAGGGAGATAGTCTTAGGACTCTATCTACCATATTGCCCAAGTACTTAGATTTTCTTTTTTCCAGATTATGACCTTGTATGTTATAATAAATTAAGTTAAAGAGATGGGAAAGAAGGAAAGCAGGGGCTTCTTCCCTGGTCTGGGAGTGGCAGGATGGGCAGGGAGCACCACAATCAGACACATGATGGGCAGGTGTCTAACATGGAGCAGAATTGCCTTTATGTTGTTTCAAATGTTTTCTGTACATATTTTTATTACTGGTGTTCAGTGTTCTAGATACCTGTTTAGAATAAAGATAAGTGCATTGTGCAAGATTACAATGTTCTCAGAAATTCCCTGTGGGGGAAGTGAGGGGCAGCAGAGCATAGACAAGCTTATTAATGACACCCATTTAAGTTGGGTG